GATCATATAAAAGAAAATGCTGAATATTTCAGAAAAAGGTTTGTATAACCTGAAGGAAAAAAGGAACTAAAAATATTCTTAGAATCAGAAGACATTAATAACTATGATTGGGAAAGTATAATCAATAATTTTTCAAATCAAATTAAAGCAAATATTGGAAATGAGTAATACAATCTATGTGTACACAAATACTCTACAACAGATTAAATTTTTAAGACTTGCTATGAGGTAAGTTTGATAGATACTATGTAAAAGTATTTTAGTTACAGTATGTCCTGTGGATGTGGAATATCAAAAATTAAATTATTAGGGACATTAGAGGATTGGGAATGCTTAAGAAAAAATACTGAAAAACTTAAAAAATTTGGATTAGATTGGTGGTTAGATAGAATATTACCCATTTTAGATTAATTCATCAATTTACATAAAGGAAATATAGATCATGCATTTTGGAAAGACATCTATAGATATTAAAACAAGAAAGGTATTTATGATCCAACACCTGAATATGCAACAGGTTGGATTACTAATTTCTTCTCATATAAAGTAAATGAAAATGCTGATGTGGAAGATTAGGATAATAAGTTTGTAAGAAATTAATTTCCCAAGTAATTAACAAAACATTCCCAATTGCCGAAAGACTAAATACCCACTGGAATATCGTAAGCCCCTGTAAAGCTTATAAATTAGAGAACTCAAGTAACTATGGATCTTAAATTTAACGCTGGATTTTTTGGTGTAGCTAAAGATGAAGAAGGATTTATTTATGCTTAATAAGGATGGGCTATTATAAGAAATAATTAGAGAAGAAATTTCTTTGATGATTTTTATTGATGAAAATTATATAGTTTTAGTACATCTTTAATTTTTTTTTGGTATAATTGGAAAGGAAAAATTCGTCTTCTTTGGCTAATACAATTAGGGGATCCTGATTCGAGATTTATAAATTGGATATTAAATAAATAAAGAATTTCTACAATTCTTGAAAATTAAATCCCTTCTTACGCCCTCTTAAGAACTGGTAACTTTGACAGCAAAATTTCTTGATCATTTTTATCATTAAGGTTGTTGAATAACTAAATCAAGGGTTTAATTAAACTTTTTGCTAAATTAATTTTAATTAAAGAAATTCTATTATTAATATACTATGAAGTTAAATTTTTGATTTGATTTAAGCCTTTAATATTACTATACAAGTTGTGAATAAATATTAAATGGAATATTATTGAGGTATTGAGGATAGAATTTGATAAAAAACTTATTTGACTATCAAATTTATTGTCTCATTTTTGGTTACAACAAATTCAATAAGAATTAGAGCATAAAACTGCATAAGAGTTAAGATTAATTGAATATCTCTCAGTATAGGTTACATTTTGATAAAATTATTTAATGGTAAGAATATTTCTATCTTAGCATCATGATTTATTTAAAATAATAATGCCTGTATTTATTATAATAATCAATTTTTTATAATCTTCTTTATTAATTCATAAGCCATATTATTGTACTTAATCAATCTCTCTCTGTCTTTAATAATAATATGATATTCCACTTATGCTTTCTTAATTTACTGATAAGCAAAAACACAAAATAACCGATTGCATGCCAAAAATAAAATTTATAAAGTTACCAACTTCTTCTTCAAATATCTATAAATTTCAAAAATTTTGATACTGATTAAATTGTATTAAAATAAGAGATAATTACCATAGTAGAAATTGTTCTGAAAGCTAACTAATTCCTAAACTCATAGGAAATAGATGTAAAATCTTATAGGTAATCAAGTAGAGAATACTTTTTAGGATTTATGATAAATTTCGTAATAATCAATAATGGAAGCAATAATTGTACATAATTGAGCAATATTTTATGGAATCAATATGATTTCTAATTTTCTTGCTTATTATCTGTTTGATAAATTTTAATCTGTCAAGTATGTTCTTATTCTAAATATTTATGAATTGCTTTCAAGAGTAATTGCCGAAAATAAACTAAAAACTGCTAATCTCAAAAACAAGAATTAAAAGTAAAGAATATAAATATATCATTTTGCCTCTAAAAGCTATAAATTTAAATGATATATAGTCATTCCTGCCTTATTATTAATTTAAGGTGATTATTAAAACTCTTAATTGATTTTAGTTAATACTCTATTCATCTTAACCAAAATGTATTTGATAAGTAGTTTTAAAATAAGAAGTTCCTTATACTAGATTACTAAATTTTAGATTCCATACTTCAATTAAATCAATCTAAATTAATTTAATTTTAATAGAATTACATTTAATAGATGAATTTCATCTTGTATTATTAAACATTAAATAATTCGAATATCATATGGACCCACTTTAAAACGTTTTATCTTCTTCAACAAGTCTACTTGCTTAGAATTATTTTCCATCTATCCAAATTCTATGATGTTCATAACTGCTACCTCCTATACCTAAGCTAGATTATTTTGGACCCTATTTAAGAGGTGAATTGAGTTTAACTTTATCTTTTTGTTATGATAGGTATTATTAAAGCCAATTTACTTTATTATTGACCATTTGTTGAAAAGATTTTGAATTTAGGGTGTATATAAAATTTAAAAGATCCTTTATTTCCTGAAATATCTGGAGAAACTTTCCATTAAAAAGGAGTCCAAAAACATACTTTTCTCATTTCTCTTCATCTTTGTCTTTTTGAGAATGTCTAAATAGAATAATATTCGATCCTTTAGCTTAAAGTAAAGCAATTCCTAAGATATTAAAATTATAAGATTATACAGCCTCATAAATATAAATTCTTTTAATAGCATTGCATTTTGAAAATCGCGGAACGCTTAAATTAAGTAATGATTGATATAATTAAATTCTTGATGCCTACTAATTATTTATCCATAAATTCACTTGAGTCTAACATAGGTAATTAATTTCTTAATGTTTTATTAATAAATTTTCCTGCTATATAATTTTTCACAATTTTAGATAGAAGAGGAGTTTCTGATTTAATTTTATCATTAAATATTAAATGATTTGTAATTCAATAATGAATGATCTGATATTAAATTAAGTTTTTACTTTTGAAAATATTGCTTATAATTAAAATTGGTGCTTGATCATCATCGTGACTTAAAATATCTCCTTTATCACTCTACATATTAATTAGTTGCTTGAAATTGATTATATTGTTTACTTTAGATAACTTTACTGCATTTGACTAGCTCACACTTAATTTGTAAACATTATTTAAATTAAATAAATCCCTTTACATTATATCAGACTTGATAAAGATACTAATGTGAATAATATATATATATCTAAGTTTATAACTTCATTGAAACTCTTGTAAATAGATCAACTATAATTTATGTTTAAGATATACCAACCGTGAGAAATGTGTGAATATCTACATAATTTTAACCACCATAGTTTCTCATAAAAATATAGAGCTTTTATGCTAACACAGAATTTTCTGTAAAATATTTTTTAAACCCTTCGAAACTAAAATATTGATCTGTTTTCCTATAAGAAAAATTATAATTATCCTGGTGTTTATTTTATCATCTTACTAAATTTTTTAGTGCATAATCATAATCACTTTAAGAGTATCTTACCTTTTCTCTTAACTTTTTTTCTTGTGATTCACAACCAACCATAACAATTTTTATTTATAATATTTATTTACTATTAAATTCTTAATCAATTTAGTGATCTGAGTCAATTAACCTCATTTTTAAATTGATAAATTGTGTTCTACAACATCCATCCACAGCCATCTTCTTTATTTCTAAAATAAATTTATTTGATTTACCACTCATATTTAATACCACTCCATTTTGAGGATAAATCATTTTATCCAGAAGTCATTGTGAAATCGATACAACACCTTGCTTATTGATGATTATTATTATTGATATTATTTTGTAATTTGCATTATTATTATTATTATTATTACTAAAAAGGTTTCTATTTCTTCTTTAGCTTCTAATTTTTTTTTCTTGCTATATTGAATTAGATACATTTTAAGTGAATCCCTTTATGAAGACAATTACTCGTCAACCCAATTTAATTTTTTTTTTAATTTTAGCTGCAGTCGATAAATTCTAATTACTATTATCCCTTTTCAATTTTACACCATTAAAGTACATGTTTCTATAAACAAAGTTTTCGATTATAATGTTACAATTATTTAGAGAATTTATTCTATAAAATTAAGTATTTGTTTTTAATCACTATACCTTTTGCTGAAGTTTTTTTTATTCTTACTTCATCATATTTAATTTTTTTCAATCTATACTGGAGGTTTCTATTATTAAGATGGGCTTTTCTATATTAAATAAATGAAATTGACTTACGATTTTAGGTAACTATGATTTTGATGATTTTTTTATGAATTAATGCTTGATTGTCTTTGTTTCTAATGATGTTCAGATTCTTAAACAAACTATCTTTTATTTCCAGAAACTAAAACTTTTCTACTTGGTAAAGCGATTTCTTGGTTTAAATTGGCTATCCTGAGCCAGGTCTTTTTCTTGATATTTTTTTCTTGATAATTCCTATTCAATTAATTTGAAAACATTGACAGCCGAACTTATATGATTAGTTGTTATTTCTCTTTTTATAAGAGACATTGAAGAAAATTATAAAATTAATTTACTTAAGTTATTCAATTTAAAATTAAACAATTTCTTTTTAATATTAAGAAGATAATAAATTTAATCTGCTCATTCTTGGAAATTTTTAAGGAAAACCTTTTCAATAAATTATCATCTACATATCGAAAGAATCAGATATCTTGTATTATAATATAAAAATAGAAATATATATTTAGATTCTAAATAATTTTAATAATGTCATTACATAGAGATTAAATGAGTTAGAGAAATTTTAGTTTTGCAAATACAATTAATGATCAAATGAAGAAATGGTAATTTTAATTATATCCTTAAAGAAGTAATTTATTCCTAACTTCTAACTTTGATGTAGGTAAAAAAATCAATCTACATCCTTTTATTTCAATTTAAATTGAAAATCTTTAAAATTGGTTGATTTTAAATATACGCCATTAATAATATAAAATCAATCAATCTATTATTATAATTTACTCAAGTTACCAACCTAAATTCTTGAAATCTATTAATTGTTAATTTACGCCAGTTTCAAGAATATATTTAATTAATAAGAGTTCATATTTAATTAATAAGAGTTCATATTTAATTATTGTCCACCTAATAGAAGGCATTTTATTAAACATAAAATTAAAGAACTAAAATAATAAATTCACTAATAATTATATTAATTATAAAACGTAAATTAAAATTCTATCATTTAAGAATATAATCTTAATTAACTCATAATTTAATTTAATAATGAATACCTTGAAAAAGAATAAGTTAATTTTACAATTTGTTTTTATTATGAATAGATTTATCTATTCATAATAAAATTATCCTTAAAGTATTTTAAACACCTATAAAAATTATAAGCTAAGATTAAGATGTCAAAGCATTGCTCTTATTATTTATTAAGATAACGATCATTCGATTAAATTAAAATTATATAACTTCAATATTTCATTTAATTTTGTAATCCAATATGTGAGAATGATTTGGCATAATATCATGCCTTTAATCTATATAGTCTATTTTAGAGTAGCTATTTAAAAACAATTATTAAAATTATGATCCATTTTGAATAGAATACTTCCTTATTTCATGGAATCAGTCTAAAAAAAAAATAATTCATAAGATAATGATGAGTAAAATAATTTTAGGCAAAGATGTTTATTATCTCTATCTGTTATACATCAATCATATTAAGAATTTACTTGCTGGCCTTTATTCAAAAATATTACTAACAAAAAGGAATCTTTTTGCAGAAATTAAATATAATATTAGTTCAAATTAATAACTACTCAATAATCAGAATTGAAGATATTTCAAATTAACTTTAAAGAGGTGTTAAAATTAGATTATAACTAGATTATACAACATTAACAAGTTAGATTATTTTAGAGTATCAATCTAAAATATAAATTAAATTACAAAGGAATGGTTAAACTTAATTTATGAGTAAAATTAATTAAATGTAGAGTTATTTGTATATATATAATATAATTTATATAATTCTAACTCTGCTTATGATATTTAATTAAGAAATTGTTAACAAATGAATAAATTAACAAATTTTCTGCTTATTGCATTAGTATTTTTACAGCTATTTAATAAATTATATGCTACTGCCTATTAATGTGATATTATTTTACTAACTGTTATAAAATCATGAATTTTAGTAATTACTCTGGCCAGAAGTTGTTCAAAGATCCAAATAATGGTTTAGCAAACTTTTGCTCCCCAATTAGTAATGAAAGTATCTACGAGAGTGGTAGTGCTAAGTTTCTATTTTCTACAGCATATATATTTATGTTCTAAATACTTCTGAAAGATAAATTGAGAGCAATTTAGCTATTGAAAAAACAAAAAGAATAACCTTTGTAATTATATCAAACTATTTATTTCAAGTATATTTTCACTAACATAGCTCATAATTGATTACAACATTAAATGATTATTATTTCATCTAATTAAATATATAGCTGTACACTGATAGATAAACCGCAGTAATAGCATTCTATTTGGCATGGTAATTGCCAAATTGAAGTTATTATATAGTAAAAAAATATAAAAGCATTATTTCACTTATTTCTTATATGGGATTCTTTTTGTGTTTTAATAACATCGCCACAGTTACATTTCTTTGTGCTATCATTGTAATATGTTTAGAATTCACAATAAATAATTAAAATTATTATTTTACCATTACCACATCTTAAACCTTTATTTAATCAATGATATAGCTGTCCTATGTTAGTTTAGTGAATATTATATCTTATAATTGTCTTTTTCTTCATTTTCATTTTTCTTGGTAGTAAAACTGTTGTCAAACAAAGTGAACCACTGAGATAAATCTTAATTGGAAATAAAATTTTCTTTAATATTTATCATCTTCTGAAAGGAAAAAATTAGTATGATTTCTAATATAAGGAATTTGCGTATTGAGCTTCCCAGCATCATATTAAATATTTGTTGATAATAAAAATAATTATTATCGACATTCTTTTTAAAATTTGATCTAAACTTAGTCCTTTCAAAGTTAATTTTTAATTCTGCTCATTTCATTAAAGGTGGGGTATATAAGCATTTAATTTTATTTAAAATCAATAAGAATACTAATTTGCTTATCGATATATTCAAACTTAAATCTAAATCTGAAAAGTTATCAAAGCCTTAAGATTCTATAAACAAAAGTTGCTAATTAACTTATTAAAATTGATCTTATTAAATATGAATGTTTGGACTTCTTGAATCTCTCAATCTTAAATGATATATATATATTGGCTATTATGCTAATTTATCCACAAAAAATGTAAGAGTTATTTGTGAAAATCCAATATTGCATACATCATGAATACAAGATTCATTTTTAAATTAATGTTTTTCAATAAAATAAACATCTTGCGCTCCTGAATTTTATAGAGGTTTTGCAACTAAACTTATAAAATTTGCTATTAATGTGTATGACATGCTTTTGTACAACTGCAAATAAAGTTTAATAAGCTAATCTTAGATTATTGTACTTATTATTAAACTTGTCCAAATTTTCGGGTATATTAAATAATAATTGGGATTTTAATCATTAATTTTAAAATAAATATATTGACCCCATAACCAAATTTATGGTTTGCTATAAACATTTATATGAATACATATCCAATATTTTTAATTGTTTTTCTGAAACAAAATAAGAAATAAATTGTAGAATTCACATTATTTATTATCTAATAATTTTTGCACTGCTTGTATGATTAAAAATATCGATTATTACCAAATTAATTACTATATGTCTCAAAATAGTCAACGTCCAATTTAATCTGTTGATAAATCATTTGATCAATAATTATATGGCGATATTTTTCTTGCATAACTGATTACCATTTGAATATTAATGAATGTACTAACGGTACTATTTGTAGGGCTTGTGATACTTCTTTTTAGAAGAAAACTGTTATCCTTATTTTAACAACCAATAATACTTTGATTAAAAAAATCAATGTTCAAGTTGTGAAACTGATAATAGTTGAAAGTTGAAATCTTCAAATTTCCTTTAAATAAAACAATAAAGATGTTATATAAGTAGGTTAGAATTGTGATACAATTAATTCTGCTTTAAAGGATTTGACCACAACTTGTAGATCTTATATATGCAAAGGGATCAAAGTATAACATCACATAAATTACTCAAAGAATCAGAAATCGTTTTAGGAGTTATTACTTCCATAACTTATTTTTTCAGTAATTTAAAAGCTAATCTATATAATTATCATTATCATTATAAAGATATTATCTATTTAGTGCAAAATGGATATATTTGCAAATATTGTATTTAATAATATTAGCAAATCTGATAAAGAAAGTAATTTATTGAATATTATATCTAATTTCTATCCGTTACGGATGCTTATTGAGTAAGTTTTTTATTTTCTAAATAACTCTTCTCATTTTTTAATAATGCAATTTTGCTTATAAAAATTAACTTCTTTTTTTTCAAGCTTAATCCTAATAATCTACCTTTTCAGATTAATAATGATCTAAAGGAAATTGGAGAGCTTAATATCCTTAAAAAATTTTTTCATTCTTTTTGTTTACAAGTATTTTTGTTTTGATCCATTACAAAAATATTAAGAAATGTACTCTTTTATTGACTCCATATATGTCACTTAATTTGTACTAAAATTTTATTTAGTCTCTTGATATAATGCTAAGTTTTAGATTGCAGTATTATTATTTTCAAGATTTTCTATTCACCAAACATAAGGCTTGACCTTTTTTTTTCACTCCAAAAAAATTTAATCCGTAAAAAATGATTCTTACCCTTGGCTTTTATTTTGAGAATATATTTTAAGGAACAAGACCTAGATTTCATAAATTACTAAGAAAATCAATCAACTGCTAAAAATATTAAATTGAGTAAATAAGGAATAAATATTATAATTTTGTGCAAGAGAAGGATAATACAAAGGATGTATAATACCTTATGTCTTTTTTAGAATGATGTCTTGAATGAAAGGGAAATTCTTAGATAATAAAGAGTCCACAATGACTTTAACATTTGATCTCCTATTTAATAAGCTTACCCAAATAAACTTGATGATTATCTTAAACAAAAACAAATTTCATTAAATAAGATTTCCAATATAATTGAAAAGTATCAATTGATAGCTATCTAGTCAACCTCATTGTTAATGGCCACCTATTTATAATCTAATATTATTATTCTTTTAAGTAACTTCAATATGTTTATTATTATAGATTGAGTTATAGCTTTAATTTCACTTGTTTTATTCCCTACATCAATTATTTTTATACAAATACAATCATTTTCTACTAGTAAGCAAGCACAATTAATTTTGATATTCTTAACAATTATTGTTATATCTAATGAATGTTAAGTTTCCTGTAAAATAATTATTGAGATAGGCTTTAGATTTCAAAATATCTTTTAATTGTAAAAAGAAATAATCTCTGAATTTTCCTATTTCTTAAAAATAATAAAGAATCTGCATTGGGATCATATAAGTTTTATTAAATCTATACAAAAATTATTTTTATTAATTGCAAGACAACTTAGAGTTACTTAAAAAAAAAGAATAATTCTTTAAGAATTTGGAAATGCTATCATAAAAAATAAGTATAGTAAATTGGAGGAAATAAAATAAAAAAAGTAATTTTACATGCTGCATTCATCATCCAACTACTAATTAGTATGGAGAGATGATGTAATATTTATCTTAATGAAATCATCTATATTTTAGTGTAAACAATCAGTAACTGATTTTATCGATTTTTATCTAGATTCAGTTCTAAATGATATTTCTGATTCTTCTTATATCTACTATCAAAGGTCTAGTTAAACATGATCATCTGCATCATATATGAAGGTTCCTTTAATTCAATTTGGAATTTTAAATTTTGCGTTTTAATTCTATTAAGAAATATGTCCATTAATCAACATTAAAATAAACAACTTAGTATTAAGAACTACAACAAATACAATAAATAAATATAATCAATGAGTACATAAATCAATATTCCACCATCATAAATTATTTAATCAGATATAAAGAAAATTGAGAATTATAAGTTTACATAAATTATTAATATTCTGTTTTAATATCTGTCTTCTCTATTACAATAATTTTTCTAATTAGGAATCGAAAACTTTTATATTAAAGTAGAGATCAATCGCATCCCTCATATGCATTCTCCTTAATTTTACTTTAAATATAAATTTATTTATGTTAATTTTATATAAAACCATTTTTTAAAATTCTTTTATTTTGTAAACAGAGGCTAGAATTAAATTTTGTAATATACTAAATCTAGTAGTTTGAGTTAAGATTATAATAATTTTTCTTTTATTTTGAACTAAAATATGATTATTATGTTTAATTAATTTACTTACCTATTTTATTCAATAAAGAAAAATCATTTTCGGTACATCAACTATTCTAAACTAATTTCTACGTTATAAAAATTAAAAAATATAATCAATCCAATCAATTAGTTTTAATTTTCATATATAAATATGTCTTTTAGATCAGAAAAATAAATTACACTTTTTCACTTATCTTATTAAATTTAATTACCCCTATTATAAAAAATTATACCTTAATGAAATGAATTTCAGACATTTATATTAATAATAAAATCTAAAATATCAAAATTATTTCAGTTTAAGTATATTTCTCCAAGTAAAAACTTTTAAATTGGTACTCATTATTAATTTATATTATTAGTCAGTCGCATGATCACATTAATAAAAAACATAATCTATTTTTTATAATTCAGTGTGTGAATGTAGCAAAGAATATAAATTTGGAAAAAGTTCTTAATATGTTTGAAAATTAAATCTTTATTTATAAAAG